TTTCTTCATTACCCATTCAAGCCGTCTCCAGCCATTATTAAACATTAATAACGTTTTATATGAGCTTTAATCAAAATATTTTAAATAATTCAAACTTAGGTAATTCTTTGTTGATCAAAATTATTTTGTCCTTGTGAATCAAACGACCTTTATGATGGTATAACTGAGATGTTAAAATTGTACTTTGGGTTCTTAAAAGATAAGTGTGTTATATTATAACTACAATCCGGATTTTAAAGAAGGACACCTCTACAGTAAAAACGTTATTATCCGTCATCTGCCGGATGTAGGCAGAAGCGGATATGCGAAAATTCTGGCTAAGAAAGCGTTTCCCTTACAATATTTTACAGGAACAATTTTGACATCTTGTTAGTGTTCTAAAGTACAATATTTTTACATCATTTATAACAATAACATGAATTAAAGATTAGAAAAAAAACATTTTCTTGTTGGTTTTTAATTCACATAAGTATTTTTACATAGTTACAAGGTTGTACATAGTAAAACTTTTGTTTATTTCGTTCACAACGTTTCACCATGGTGGGAACGAAATCTGACATCATTAGCCTTAATTCTTGTATCTCACCTGATGATATCAGGTAAACCTGGTGAAACGGTGGGAACGAAATCTGACATCATTAGTCTTAATTCTTGTATCTCACCTGATGATACCAGGTAAACCTGGTGAAACGTTGTGAACGAAATCTGACATCATTAGCCTTAATTATTGTATCTCACCTGATGATACCAGGTAAACCTGGTGAAACGGTGGGAACGAAATCTGACATCATTAGCCTTAATTATTGTATCTCACCTGATGATACAGGTAAACCTGGTGAAACGGTGGGAACGAAATCTGACATCATTAGCCTTAATTCTTGTATCTCACCTGATGATACCAGGTAAACCTGGTGAAACGGTGGGAACGAAATCTGACATCATTAGCCTTAATTCTTGTATCTCACCTGATGATATCAGGTAAACCTGGTGAAACGGTGGGAACGAAATCTGACATCATTAGCCTTAATTATTGTATCTCACCTGATGATATCAGGTAAACCTGGTGAAACGTTGTGAACGAAATCTGACATCATTAGCCTTAATTCTTGTATCTCACCTGATGATACCAGGTAAACCTGGCGAAACGGTGGGAGCGAAATCTGACATCATTAGCCTTAATTCTTGTATCTCACCTGATGATACCAGGTAAACCTGGTGAAACGGTGGGAACAAAATAAGGAAAAGTTTATGATGTACAACCGATAAAAAAACATGTGTGAATTATAACAATAACAATGATAAATGTTGTAAAAAACCTTAAACTCTATAAAAAAAAACACGTTAAATCTGCATCACACTACAGGCGGCTAACAACTGCCGTCGAGAAAGATCGTAAACAAAGCTAGAATGAGCTTTTGTATTCAGTTAGTTAGTATTGTTACGACAACGGGAGTCACGCAACGCTGCGAGCATGCGCGCTGGAGTTTCTCGAAGGATCATGAATTTTCCTGGCAACTCTAGTTTGTTCCAGACGCCCTCTTTTTTAGTATATAAGCCCGGCAAATAAAGCCAGCGAAGAAGATAGAATTGCATAGATCGAAGAAATATGCAGATAGATTGAATAGATAGATAATTGAGTCAATGGTACAGTAGGCAACGTAAGTAAAGTGTCTGAATCACTGTGATTTCTACGGGAAATTAACAAACAAGCACGTAACACTATGTTTGTTTGTTTTAAAGCAAACTTTTCACTTTTAATATCTAATTAATTATACGTTTATGTATCATTATAAGTGCATATATATATATATATATCTGTGGGTGTGCGTATGTTTGTGTCCCTTATTAAGAACTTGTGATTTAGGAGATAGGCCTAAAGAGAACCGAATATGGTCCATTGTGACGATATTTCAATATTAAATCACTTAGGATAAATATATTTCACATACAATTTTTTTAATGTAGCTTGAAATAATAATCTTCACTATCAGATTTGTTTAATTAATGAAAACAAGGAATCACCTAAGCCTATTTCACCCGTAACGTTATTTTTTGCTATTTGTTATATATTCTTCTCAATGTTATTTTATTTATTATAAATAGGTTTCGTGAAGGTTGGTGGCTATCAAGAACTAGTCCACCAGTTCGCCACCAAAATACCCAACGAGACAGTAATTGGCTACAACTCGAAGAACGTCTCCTGTAGTGAAATCCCAGGGAACTACATGCATTTATTAAGATCAGCCTATGACCCCGAACTTCCGTGGACAGGAATGGTCTTCGGATTAACTATTTCAGCCGTTTGGTATTGGTGCTCTGACCAGGTTGTTGAATATTTGTAAAATTATTTACTTGCAAAAAAAATTCAATTTTTGGAACTTAATATCGTTCTGTTAACTTGGTGCCTCCAGTAGCACAGCGGTATGTCTGTGGACTTACAACGCTAGAATCCAGATTTCGATACCCGTGGTGGGCAGAGCACAGATAGCCCATTGTGTAGCTTTGTGCATAACTTCAAATAAACAAACAAACAAACTGTTAAGTTGGTTCGTAGTGGATTGTACTTTCTAAGCAACATATACTTTCAACGAGAAAGCGATAGCTATAGGTTCTTGATGACAAAAAGGGGGAGGGATTAGGCCTAAGAAAATGTGTTCAATTATATGTTTCGTGATTTTCGCGCAAAATTATACAAAGGGCTATCAGCACGTAGTTGCTTATAATTTTGAAATGATAGAACAAAGGGAAGGGATCTAGTCAGCAGCATCCGTACCAGCTCTTAGGCTGTTTTTCTCTTACTGAATTTGGGATTTGATTGTCATTCTTATAACGCGCCCAAAACCATAAATCCTCGAAGTCACAGTCTCAACACGCTACCACGCTACCACAATGGAGAGGAACTAATCTCCAGTTACCAAAAAAAGTTCTTTGTTATATCAGAATTTTCTAGTAATTAAGCGTGGAAAGTACTTGCCAAATTTAAGGCCAACTTTATTTGTCATCATATGAGTTAGCGTATGAATAATTAGTATTATCGAGGACAGCAAGCCTTTCGCTTCCATCATTTTGCTTTGTCTAACATGTTTCTGCTATGCTGATATTAACTTTTAGTTTAAATTTTTCTTTCCCATCTTAAATTAACTTAAACCAACGTTAAATACCTAAAACGAAACTTTTATGCACCTTATGTAATTTTGTGTGAACTTTTATGGAAGTTTAAAATTGAAAATGAAAACAGTCATCAGTACTATTTATTTATCTGTTTTGTTCTAACGCTGGGTTACACACATGACATGTTGATTTGCATATTCACAATCGTTTTCATATAACGTTTGATTGTTTGTTTGAAGTTAAGCACAAAGCTACACAATGGGCTATCTGTGCTTTGCCCACCACGGGTATCGAAACCAGGTTTCTAGCGTTGTAAGCCCGCAGACAGACCGCTGTGCCACTGGGAGGCTTGATATAACCTACCCAACCCTCTCTACATTAAAATATTACACCAGTTTCGCGGACTGCTATATCCAAAATCAACAAGGTATAGATTCTCTACATTAAAATATTCCACCAGTTTCGCGGACTGCTATATCCAAAATCAACAAGGTATAGATTCTCTACATTAAAATATT